AACAGGGAAATGTAGGGAAAGGATCAATGATATAACGGAGGTATGTTAAAATGGTTAAGTAAACATCATCATCATCACTGTAACAGCATCACCAAAAAGGCATTAAGAGTTGTTAACCTAATCTTATGAAGCTTTTCCTCTGGTAATATTGTATTGCTAACTAGGGCATACAAAACCTTTGTTAGACCAATTCTCGAATGCAGCTCATCTGTCTGGAATCCGCACTGTATCTTCGACATTAATACAATTGAGTGAATCCAGAAGTATTTCATGAGAAGAGTCCTCCACTCCTCTGCTCACAACAGAATCCCTTATGCCACCAGGCTCGAAATTTTGGGCTTGGACAATCTAGAAATATGCCTAGGGTCTGACCTAAGCATAGTATACAAAATTATCCGCTACAACGTCCTACTGGTCAATGACTACTTCAGCTTCAACTGCAATAATAGAAGAAAAAATTGAGGGGGAAAAAAAGAAGTATAGGATCTCGTGCTCCAGCAAAGGGTTGGACTAGAAGACCTCCAAGCCCCCTTCCAACTCGGTTATTCTGCAGGCAGCTGCCATTCACATTCTTCACTGGCTCACAAGCGGCAGAGGCTGCGTAGAACTGGAGACAATGCCCGTTGTGTAGCATGTGTGCCTGTTATATACGTATAATACGCACACATTTTCTGTCACGTAGCCACACACGGACTGATAGGCGCACTTAATTAAGCTGTCATTCTGCTATTATTACCTTTTCCCCTTTATGACTCTTAAAAAGAAAAGAAAAAAACCCTCGAGTGGTGACTAATTCGCCAGTGGGAAATGGATGAGAGATGCTCGCCAGCCATTGGTGGAGCCGGAGTCAGACAAGAAAGGCAGCCCGCCGATTGGCTGCGCCGCGGTCAGAAGTTTCGGGCTGTTATGAATGCGAACAGTCAGCTCTGACCGGCAGTAACCTCCGGGGAGGGAGGAGGGTCAGCCCTGCCCAAATTGTGGGACGGGGATTGGTTAGAAAAGGCTGCTGCGGTTGCCATGGGAGCCAGGGGGTGCTTCATGCTCCAACACGTTGAGCTGCTTGACAGTGATGTACAGTTAGCCAGTGAAGGAAACAAACAACCTTTGTTTTAGGTTCAGAGGCTTTAAAAAAAATAATTGCTGATTTCAGAGCTTGCCTATGAAATGAACTCCAAGTTGAACCTGCCTGGTAGATCACTTTAAATCCTGCAGAGACTTGTTACAGGATTCCCCCCCCCCCACATACACTCCTATCCCCTCCACCCTGAAGGGAGGAAAGGAGAGGGAAAGAAGAAAGGGAAAAGGAGAGGAAGAAAGGGAGAGGCAATAAGAGTAGGAGAGAGCGGGTAGGAAAGGGAAGAAGGGGGAGGAGTGGGGGAGAGGAAGTGGAAGAAGAGAAGGGAAAGGAGGGGGGGAAGAAGAAAGAGAAGAAGGGAGAAAGGAGAAAGAGAAAGGAAGGGAGGGAAAATAAAAGTAGGAGAGAGGGAAGAAAAGGGAAGAAGAGGGGAGGAGTGCAGGGGAGGAAGGGGGAAAAGAAGGGAAAGTAGAAGAGGAAAGAAGAAAGAGAAGAAAGGAGGGGAGGAGAATAGGAGAGAAAGAAAGGGAGGGGAAATAATAGGAGAGACGGTAGCAAAGGGAAGAAGGGGGAGGAGTGGGGGAGAGGAAGTAGAAGAAGGGAAAGGAGAGGAGGAAAGAAAGAAGGGAGGAAAGAAAAAGAAAGGAAGAAAGGGGGAAATAAGAGTAGGAGAGAGGGAAGGAAAGGGAAGAAGTGGGGAGGAGTGGAGGAGAGGAAGGGGAAAAAGAAGGGAAAGTAGAAGAGGAAAGAAGAAAGGGAAGGAGAAAAGGAGAGG